GCCGTTAGAGTGGATGAGACTTCCCTAGGGCAGTGGTTCCCAACCTTTATGGCACCAGGGGTAGGTTTTATGAAAGACAGTTTTTCCATGGACGGGATGGAGAGGGCATAGGGAATGGTGTCAGGATGAAACTGTTTCACCTCAGATCATCAGGCATTAGATTCCCTCAGAGAGCATACAACCTAGATCCCTCACATGCACAGTTCACATTCGGGTTTGTGCTGCTATGAGAATCTAATGCCGCCACTGATCTGAGCTCAGGCAGTAATGCTTGCTCACCTCCTGCTGTGTGGCCAGGTACCATCAGTGGCTCAGGGGTTGGGGACCCCTGCCCTAGAGCGTGAATATATTTATAAAAGAGAAGAAGCTGAAAGAATGAGCTCTGAGCACTCCTGCATTTAGTGCTGGGGAAGTGAGGAAGAATCAGCAAAAGAGGCTTTGGAGGAGTGGCCAGAAAATCACAGGATATCTATGTGAGAAGCGAAAATATTTCAAGGAGGAGAAGAGAGGTATCAGCTGGGTCGAAACAGTGCAAAAGCATTTTATAAACTCTAAAATCAGTCAGCATATATCAAGAACATACTATATACCAGACATTGGTGATTGAATGAATGAATGAATGAACAAGATAGCCATGGCCTCTGCCTTCCAGGAGCTCTCAGTATTGTAGTGGAGGCAGGTGTGTATTCAAACAAGTAGGACTGTGTAAATGAGCAGGACAAATGCTATGCCAGGTAGGAGCCTGGCACAAAAGCACAATAGGAGGGAGTGAGCAGTGTGCCTTTGCCTCCTCTAGGCTTTACACACTCCTAGTTTTAACTTTTCATTATACTCTTTAACCTCAATTCTGTATTTTCAGCTTCAACCCTCCCCTAGCTTTAGAACCACATCCAACTGCTGGACCTCCATACCCAACTGCTCCACGTGTACCTCACACACAATATATATGAGATTGATTTATCTTTTCCTTTCTTCTCCCTCTCTTTCCTTAAGACACTACCTTATTAGATATTCAAGCACATGATAAAGATATGATTACAAAAACAATGTGGTCCTGCCGGGCATGGTGGCTCATACCTGTAATCCCAACAATTTGGGAGTCAAGATCACTTGAGCCCAGGAGTTTGACACAAGCAGGGCAACATAGTAAGACCCCATATCTACAAAAGACTTAAAATGTTGGCTGGGTATGCTGGTGTGTGCCTGCAGTCTGTAAATATCCCAGAAACCCAATAATATGTCTATAAATATGTAACTTCAGTATCTTTTTTTTTTTTTTT